GGAGCCCAAGGAATCATGTTCTCGGAAAGCTGTCTTGGAAATACGATTTACCGAGGTGTCTTGGGTGCCCGCAGGGGGCTTCCCTAGGGACCCCTCGGGGGCCTATTGGGGCTTCTGGGGGGCCTCTTGGGAGCCTCACAGGGCTTCTTGTGAGCCTCTTGATGGCCTCCGGGGGCGTCCTAGGTCCTAGGAGCCTCTCAGGCCAGAGACCTTGAAATGTCACGCTCTTCGGGCCCTCTTGGGTCGCTCTTGGGGCTCTCTTGGGGCGCTCTCGAGGCCCTCTTGAATTACCTGGGGAGCCTCCTGGGCAAACTCTGGGCTTTCTTGGGAGCCTCTTCGGCCGTCTTGGAGCGATCTGAAGAGCCTCTGACGCCGTCCGGGACTGTGGGGAGGCGGAACATGCGAGAGCGCAAACATGCTTCAAAAACAATTGGAAGACGCATGTCTTTCGGCTTCTGGGGCCCTTTGGAAGGGCCTCTGGAGGCGCTCTTGGGGCTTTTTGGCGGCGTCGTCGGCCGTCCTGAGGCCATCTTCGGCGTGTCTGGGGCCTCTTGGGGCTGTCTTGGCAATCTTTAGGGCCCTCTTGGCGTGTCGTGGCGTGTTTGGGAGCGGGCCCGGGCAATCCCTGGAGCCCTGGGAGCCATGGGGGGGCACGGCACCGGCCCGGCCCCCCCCGGCCTACTCCGATATGTGTATATATATATATATATATATATATAGATATACACATGCATACATGCATGAATGCATGCATACATGTATACTAGAACCACGCGCGCGCTTCGCGCGCGCTTAGGTTCTAGCTAGGAGGCGAGCTTGAGTCAACGAAAGTCGCAGGGAAGGGGGCAGGGGGAAGAAGGCCAGAGAGCGCTGAAGGATACAAATACTGGAACCCTCTTGTGATTTTGTGGGGGGCCTCGTCCGGCCGCTCGCTGGGAGTTTGACGTAGCTTCTCGGGAGCCTCTGAACCTGTCGGGGGCCTCCTGGAAGCAGGTTCGAAGCATTTTGGGGGCCGATTTGGGGCTTCTCGGGGCCTCCTTTGGGCCTCTTGGGGGTCTCCTGGGGCCTCTTGAGGGGCCTCCTTGGGGCCTCCTGGCGGCCTCTTGGGGCGGAAGGCTCGAGCTTGCGGTTCGTGGTCCCCCTCTGGGCCCCCTCTTGGGCCCGTCTTGGGGCCCTCTTGGGCCATCTTGGGCGCCTCTTGGGCCGTCTTGGGGCCCTCTTGGGCTGTCCTGGGGCCCTCTTGGAAGCTTCTTGGGCCGTCTTGGGGCGGTCTTGGAGGCCTCTTGGGCCGTCTTGGACGCGGTGAAAGCCCAAGATGCGAACATGCGAAAAATATACGTTTTCCCATAGGAATGGCACGATTTTTGTTTCTTGGACCTCTCTTGGGGTGCCTCTCAGAACGTCTTGGGCTGATTTTGGAAGCCTTTCGGCGCCTCTGGGCGGCGTTTTGGCGCCTCCTGGGATATGTTGGGCCGCAAGCTTGGAATTCGAGAGTGGCTTTCTCCTTCTGGGACCCCTCTCGAAATCGTCTTGGGGTTCTCTTGGGCCGTCTTGGGGCCGTCCTGAGCCACTCGTGCGCAGCCTTGGAGCGCTCCCGGAGGCCTCCTAGGCCGTCTTGGAGGCCTCTTGGACCGTCTTGGACGCGGTGAAAGCCCAAGATGCGAACATGCGAAAAGATATACGTTTTCCCATAGGAATGGCACGATTTTTGTTTCTTGGACCTCTCTTGGGGTGCCTCTCGGAACGTCTTGGGGTGCTTTTGGGAGCCTTTTGGCGCCTCTTGGCGGCATTTTGGCGCCTCCTGGAGCCTCTTGGGCCGGAAGCTCGGAATTCGAGGTTGGCTTTCTCCGTCTGGGACCCCTCTCGAACTCGTCTTGGGGCTCTCTTCGGCCGTCTTGGGGCCGTCCTGGGCCACTCGTGCGCAGCCTTGGAGCGCTCCCGGAGGCCTCGTAGACCGTCTTGAGCGCCTCTTGGGCCGTCTTGGACGCGGTGAAAGCCCAAGATGCGAACATGCGAAAAATGTACGTTTTCCCATAGGAATGGCACGATTTTTGCTTCTTGGGCCTCTCTTGGGCTGCCTCTCGGAGCGTCTTGGAGGCTACTGGGACCTTCTTGGTGTCATGACAGGCGTCTTGGAAGGCATCTGGAGCCACCGGAGCGCGTTCCGAAGCCGCCTGCGAACGATCTTGGACGGCGTCCGGCGGTCCGACGAGCCTCCGGGCCCCCCGGGGCCCACATTTGTGGTCGGGGTCCCGGCCCCGGGCCCCCGGACCCGGTGCGCCGTTATATGTATACACTATGTGCGTGCATAAACCTCTCTTTCTCTCATCCTCTCCGCACACCTCCTCGACGAAGACAACCTCCTTCTTGTCCTCTTCCTTCTCATCCTCCTCGACGAAGCTCGTGAATCGATCAATATCCTCCCCCTCCTCGTCCCCCTCCTCCTCCTCGTCCTCCTCCTCCTCCTCCTCAACAAAGACGATGGCCCCCCCGCGGCCACCCCCCGCGTCATCGCGCCGGGCGCCGTGAAGGCCATCGCCGACTCCTGCGATCGGCCAGGGATCTCCACGCGCCGCCCTCGCAACTCTTCCCCGTCGCATCTCCCACTGGGTGGCCACTGGGGGAGGGGCAGGGCCAGTCGGCACCGAATTGGGGAACCGGACCAAATCGAAGTATGCATCGGATCGGGCTGCACCGGCACAAATTCGACATCGAATCGGATCGGCCGCACCAAACTCTACAACAACGCCATGGAAACATCGGGCCGCATCGGATCGTGGAATGCGGAATCGAGTCGGATCGGGCCAGCCGAAATCAACATCGAATCGAATCGATCGGATCGGAATGGAATCTGGGTGGGCCTCTGCGGCAGGTCCAAGCTCGGGAAAACCTGGGAGGCTTGCCGCCGCCGGCTCATCTCCTTCGCTGTGTCGTGGAACCCCGCGAGGTGCCCGTGGGCCATGGGACCGTCTGAGTCATCGTCTTGGATTCACGGTGCAAGTAGCCTGCATCAGAGACTCTGTGGCGCCACCTTGAGCCTTGAGCCTCGAAGGGGAGGCGAAACAGGAAAGGGCGCTCAGGGGCGGTGCCCCTGCGGCTGGACGTGTGGAAGCCGTACCAGACGCGTTCGGAAGCCAGGCCATGCCTGGGGCGCACTGACAGGTCGAGCCACGACGCGCCCCGGGGGGCCCGCTGAGCGGTGTGAGAAAGAGGGGGAACGGGGGAAGGAGGAGGGGCGAGGGGGAGAAGCATTGGGAGGAGGAGGGGGAGGAGGGGACGAGCAGAGGGGCGAAGAGAGGGAGGCAGGGGGACGAGGGGGAGTGGGACAGGACGTAGGAGGGCAGGAGGTGAAGGTGGAGGGCCAGAGCGCGGAACAGAAGGGGGGGCAGCAAGGACGAGCGCACGGGCGTTCCCCCCCGCCCCCCTGGCGGCGGTCTCCATGGTGCGCGGGCGGCCCGTCAGCTCCACCCCGCGGGGCGGCACAGCCCGCGGGACCAGTGCGCCCCGCTGCCCCCTTCCAAGAAGAAACTGGCGCGCGGTGAGGGGGAGGACGAGGCAGGCGGCGGAGGTCGCTGACGACGACGACGACGACGAAGACGCCAACGACGACGACGACGACGACGACGGCAACGACGACGACGACGCCGACGCCGAGGGCGACGCTGATGACGACGCTGATGATGGCGACGTTGACGACGACGATACCGCTTTCGCGGGCGCGGTTGACATACCTTTCGCCCCTACGGGTGACCCAGGCTTCTTGGAGGCGCAGACAGGGGGGTGGAGCGAGGGGGGCGGCCTTTCTGAGAGGGCTGGGGGCTTCTGAGACGGCCAGCGGCTTCTTCATGCTTCTTCAGAGGCCCTCCCGTCTTCTAAGAAAGTCTTCTTAGAAGCCCACTGCCTTCTTAGATCGCCGCCCCCCTCGCGCCACCCTGTGCGCCAACGTCAGAGGTCTGGGACGACATGGCAATCTAACAGCCCGCGCAGAAGAATCCACACGAGGGGATTAGGCGTGTTGTTGGCCACAACGCCCCAGAAGCAATGGAGATGTACTAATCTGAAAATGCTGGCCCTACCTCTGCCAAATGTCAAGAAGCTGGCCTCTGAGGTGTTCCACGCAACAGTAGCAACGGAGGCCTGGGACGCAGCTTCCCGACCTCTGGCTTTATATCCTCTCACACCTCCGATGCCCCCAGAATTCACGACGCCTCGGCCACGCGGACTACAGTATGCTTTGCGTGCGTGCCTTTGTCTTTTCTGCATGTACTTATGTAGAATGCGTGGTTGCTGCACCTTCGTTCGCTGATCTTTAAGATGAGGCCCCTAAAGATGCGACAGACATCTCCCCATGCTAGCGCAACGCAACAAAGGAGGGCACGGCAGAGTGGGTGAAGAGTGGTAGGTGGGGTATTGACGTTTTGTCCCATCCTTGGACGCCTCCCGTTCCTTGCTGCCTGGCCCTCCACCCGCGCTGTGAACCATGCCCCTTGCACCCTCGCAGCAGAAGAGCAAACACGAAAGGTAGAGAGCCCGCAGTCAGAAGGGGAAATCCAACGCCGGTGTGCGAAGCAGGTGGCACTGGGTTCTGACACCACCTGAGTCTGCACCTTTACATCTCGATCGATCTCTCCGCTCTCAGAGGCCCCCAGAAGCGGTCGATCTCATCACTCGCGGGGAGCACGCGCCGTGTACTCTTTGTGTCGTGCCTTGGGGCTCGCGGCGAGGAGCCTCGGACGCCCGCGACGGCGTCGCCGCCAAAGTCGACGCGGCAACACCTTGAAGAGGCCTGCAGCCTCCTCCGCCCCGCGGCCGCCCACGTGCTCGGGAGAGAAGAGGCCCCGAACCCGCCCACCCCCCCACCCTCCTCGTGAGGGGGGAAGAGGGGGGAAGATGCCCCTCCAAAGCCCCGCAGCCCTGAGGGTGTCTGGTTGGCCCAAAAGTGGGTCCAGCGAAAAGGTGGTGGTGCAAAACAATTGGTGCAATAGATTTGCCAGGTTGCAGAAGATTGAGGGTGTGCCATACATTCCGGTGCGCAATGTGTTGCTGGATTTTCGCGTGCCATACATCATTTGCAATACAATGCAATATAAGTCTCTGGCGCAATACATCTGCAAAACAAATACCCCAAATCTATTGCACCACCCCCTTTCAGCTGGACACCCTTTCGGGCCACGAAGAGGGGGGGTCTGGCAGGGTTCCGGAGAGAAAACCCCCTCTGCCCCCTCCTGAAAGAAACCCTGACAAGGGGGAGTTCTGGTAAACACCCCGTGAAGAATACTTCTGGCAGGGCCCCAGAAAAAGAGAAAGAGACCTCCATGGGAAACAAAAACCCCTATCCCCCCTCAGTGAAAGGGTTCCGGGAAGAAAAGCCCTAACCCCAGCAAGCACAAGTCCGCCCTGAGAGGCGGCTCTGGGACAAAAAAAACCAAACAGCAAGCCCACCTAGGGGAGGGGTGCGAAGGGGGTTTTCCAGAGGGGGTCCTGGGACCGACCACACCCTGCTGCTCATCTTCGCTCTCCTACTCGTCGTCCTCCCGCCGCGCAGCGAATGTTCTGCAAACGGCCTTTGTCAGCGAAGGTGCTGACACACAGCAGTGGCCACGCGGCCAACTCAGCGGGCTTGGCAGCCGGCCACTCTGGGTTTGCCCAGGCGCGCAAAGTTGGGCCTCGGAAGGGACTCCACAATCTCCTCCTCCTCCTCCTCCTCCTCCTCCTCTGCCTCCTCCTCCTTCTCCTCCTCCTCCTCCTCTTCCTCATTTTTTTTTTCATTATCCGGGCACTCTCTGTTTCCTCCTCCCCCTCCTCCTCCTCCTCCTCCTCCTCCTCCTCCTCCTCCTCCTCCTCCTCCTCCTCCTCTAGTTCCTCCTCCTCCTCCTGCTCCTCCTCCTCCTCCAGCTCCTCCTCCTCCTCCTCCTCCTCTTCCTCCTCCTCTTCTTAATATCATTATTCCTCCTCTTAGTTGTATGATTGCTCTTCTCCTTAGTGTTAGTGTTATGCTTATGATTGTGTCTTTCTTCTGACTCTTCTTGATAGTAGTAGCATTGATATTCTTCGTATCCGTATCACTATCCCATTTTATGTTTATTCGTAGTATCTGTATTGCTCTTACGAATATAATCATTATTTCCCCAATCAGAGCTTGCCTCTGTAGGGGTCCTAGCGGATTCATATGGTTAGGTTAGGTTTGCCGCCGATTTTCGCGGCACGCCCGGGTGCCCGGGGGTGCCCGGGTGCCCGGGGGTGCCCGGGGGTGCCCGGGGGCCCGCGGGTGCCCGGGCGTGCCTGGGGGTGCCCTGGTGCCCGGGCGTGCCCGGGGGTGCATGGGGGTGCCCGGGGGTGCCCTATAGCCCTATAGCCCAATAGCCCTACAACTCTATAGACCTGTAGATCTATAGCTCTATAGCTCAATATTCATATGGTTAGGTTAGGTTTGCCGCCGATTTCGCTGCACCCACGCTCGGGTGCCCGGGTGCCCGGGGGTGCCCGCGGGTGCCCGGGTGCCCGGGTGCCCGGGGGTGCCTGGGGGTGCCCGGGGGTGCCCTATAGCCCTATAGCCCAATAGTCCTATAGCCCTACAACTCTATATCCCCATAGCTCTATAGCCCTATAGCTCAATAGCCCTATAGCCCTGATTGGTTTTTTCTCCGGTACCATATTATTAGCATTCTTATCATTATCATTATTATTATTATTATTATTATTATTATTATGCGTTGTCTTCTTCTTACTAATCTTATGATGCTGGAGAAAAGCCCAATCATAATCTTTGTAGGGCAGTAAGGCTACGGGGCTATAGGGCTATAGGGTAAGGCTATGGTGCTATAGGGCTATAGGGATAAAGGCCATACTAATAGGTTTATAGGGTTATATGGCTATAGGGCTATAAGGATTTAAGGCTATAGGGCTATAGGGCTAGAAGGTTATAGGGCTACAGGGCTATCAGGACTAAAGGGCTATAGGGCTATAAGGCTATAGCGCTTTAGGGCTGTAGGGCCTAGCTATAGGGCTGTAAGGCTATAGGGCTAAAGCTATAGGGCTACCGGGCCCCCGGGCCCCCGGGCCCCCGGGCAGCGATTTTTTTTTGTTTTTTTTTTTTTTTTTTTTTTTTTTTTTTTTTTTCCCCCCGCGCCCACTGGATGAAGGCTCGAACTCGAAATAAGCCAAATCTAAATAAGCGCCGGCCGGGTTAACGTCACCCCAAACGGGCTCTGGTCATATTCCCCCCCGGAGGCGACAGAGACGCACCGCTGGAATTCCTAAAACACTTCGGTCAGGAATCCAACTCCTATCGAGCACAACCCTGAGCTGCCAGATTTTATAGATCTGACCCTGAGCACCGTGCACTAACACGAAAATTTAAAGTCCGACGTTCTGCTGGGGCGGGCCGCAAGCCACAAGAGCAGGCTTCAAAACGCGGATGCCGCCACACACCTAAAGCCGAGTTCAAAGAAAAGTAACGAAAACCCCCCCTGCACCAGGAGGAGGAAGCAGGAGGAGGACGAGGAAGGGAAGAAGAGGGGGCCGAGAGAGGAGGACGAGGAGGAGGAGCGAAAGCAAACTTAGCACGCTGTGTGCACATATCCCCCAAGGCCCAAGCGGCCACCGATATTCACACAAACGAACCCCCACGGCACCAAGCGAGGCACAGCGCAAACTGGCCCACCTTGTGCGGAGCGAAAGTTGAAACCATAGTACGTAGACTGCGGAAGCATAGCAGCGGTGGCAGCGAGAGAGCAAGAATGGAGAGAGAAACTACTGCATTGGAGCCCAAGCGCGAGCGACGCAAGCCGTCGCGGCGCCATGGCCCCGCACTATCTCCTTGGCCGTGTGGGCTAGAGCCTGCCAAGCCAGCGGGCCGGCGCCTGCCGGAGAGTGCCTGCGCCGACAATGTAAAATGTACACGGCCGCGATGCGGATGCTCTTCCTCACCAGTAGATCGCGAACTCCCGTGGAGTAGCGTGGCACCAAGATCAGGAAATCCTCGATTGCTCCAGGGCCGACTGGCGCGTCGAGGTGTAGGAAGCGGGAGCCGAACTCGCGGACGACGGGGCACCGGGCGTAGTGCTCGATGCTGTCCTCGCACGCGCACCCGAAGATACATCGACCCTGCTCTTGAAAACGTCGGCTCGTGACCCAACCATTCCACCAGGCGCGCAACACTGCGGCCCGCGCCCGCGCCGGGAGGTAAGAACTCAGAGACGGCAACACCAGTAGTGCTCGATCAGCGCGGACGCGTTCGAGCAATCTCATATCGTACCGCGTCAACCGTCGCCGCATGAAGAGTTCGAGGGTGGCACGGGTGGACGGCTCAACAAAAGCCCGACATGTCTTCTGCCACTGGCGCCGGAGAGTGAGGAGGTCCTCCGGGGAACGAGGACGAGGATGCCCCAGGATTCGCGCTTGGATTCGCTGGGTCCCGAAGCCGGCCTCCGTGAAGTGGTCGACGGCAGAATCCAATTGAAGAACGAATGCGGATGCGAACCACGACGCCATGACGTACTGTCGCTCCAACTGGTTCGATCGAGATGCAACTGCCCGGAGCTCCCTTGCGCGAGTGCGGATCGCCAGCCCGCCGTGGAGCCTGTTCTCGAAAGTGGCGACCTGGTGCTTGGCTGCGAGCGCGTGCGCGTCGAGGTCAAGCAGGCCGCCCTGGAAGCCGAGGTGCGGTAGGGCCCGCAAGGCGTCGACCGTGGCCCAACACCGCGGACCTGGGAACAGCTTGGAAGCCGCGGTCCGTTCGAAGCAGGCCCATTCGGGTGGAGGGGCATCCAGCTGGGCAACGAAGAGGACGGTGGAGAAGATGTACGTGCGGTACGCCAGCAAAGTGAGCTGCAGTCCACAACCAACCCTTCAGCAAGCAGCGGCGCGCTGACGGTATTTGTCCAGCGGTTTGTCCCACGAGGTCGTGCCGCGGCCAGGCCCTAGAACGAAGCCGAGGTACTCCGCCGAGGGCGTGCAGCGAAAATCTGCGGCAAACCTAACCTAACCAAACGAATCCGCTAGGACCCCTACAGAGGCAAGCTCTGATTGGGGAATTATGAGAAGTATTCTTCTCCTTACTCGGAGTATTACTATTATTCCTCCTCCTCCTTCTCCTCCTTTTCCTCCTTCTGCTCCTCCTCCGTCTCCTCCTCCTCCTCCTGCTCCTCCTCCTCCTCCTGCTCTTCCTCCTCCTCCTCCTCCTCCTCCTCCTCCTCCTCCTCCTGCTCCTCCTCCTCCTCCTCCCTCCTCCTCCTCCCCTCCTCCTCCTCCTCCTCCTCCTCCTCCTCCTCCTCCTCCTCCGCCTCGAACGCGGCCGCGAGCTCGGCGACGCCCGCGGCGCTGCCCGCGGCGCCCGCGGCCCCTTTCCTCCTTTGCCCTTGCCTGTGTTGACTGCGTCCACTTCTTCTCCCCCACTGCAATCGCCCCCGTGGCCCCAATCTTCGACGCTGGACCGCCAGTAGCCATCGTCGTTCAAAAAACCTTCTGCGTTCCCGCCCTCATGGGAGCCCCAGGCGTTCCCCTGATCGTCGCTGCCTCTGCTAACCCCTGCAACGTCCATGGCGCCATGGTCCTTCGCGCCAACGCCCAGGCTCTTCTTCCGCGCCCAGTCTTCACACTGAACATGCAATGTTTGTTAGTTTTGTGGCGTGAGCGAATCGGGCGTTTTGAACAACTCCTGGTGCCGCCCTTCAAACCAGCCCCCCCGCATGTGTCATAATGGTCCTCGGCGCAAGGAACGGGAGATTTAACGAGCACGCGGGGCCGTGCTTCGCCAGCGTTTCCACCGGCACTGCCCACTGCTCTGACTGGGTGGCCACGTCTCCAATGTTCTTTGATTTGTCCGGTTTCAAAGCCAGGCACATCTTGGCTGACAGAGTCACCCCAGCGACCGCAAAGTACCACCTGTATATAGATATACAAACATATCTATACTGGTACGCTGGTAGCCCATCACTTTCTAGCTTGCAGCTTGTCATGGGTCCCACTCCTTCCAGCTTGTCATTCAGGATGTGCCACATGTCCTCGTCTAGCTTGTGCACCATGTCTTCAGTTCTGTCAAATTCTCCCCTGTCATCCTCATCCTGATGTTTCACTAGGCTGGTTTTCGCGTATTCTGACGCGGTCAACCCATGGTTGAGGACCCTGCGCATATCGTCGCCGCCTTCATCCTGCAACGTGTCACCCATGGTATACAGCCTGTCGCCTAGATTATTCAACGCCCGCCGGTACTGTGGGTTTAGTTGTGCCAATGCGTTCAAGGACTTTTCGTACCACTCGCGGAAGCTAGCTCGGTCACCGCAGAAAGTGTTGAGCTGCTGCGTGGGTTTATATTCACTATAACAACCGGATGTTGATGTCCTCCCGACTTGCTTTTTCCGTCTGCTATAGGTTAGGTTATCTTCGTGACATGTTCCATCGTGTTTTTCTGCATGTTCGTCTGGTCCTCGAGATTCCAAATTCTCAACTAAACGTGAGTCGCCTCCTCGTCTGCGCACATGTCGCGGTTCCCGATGCGAAGCAAGGAGTTCATTTCTCGGTCCTCAGTAACAGTCCGTATCCCTCCTTTTTCGTGAAGGTCTTCACTCCAGCTGCAGTCTGTCTACTAATGAACTCTTTCATTCCTCCATGGTTAGTTCTCAATGCCAGTGTTACATACTTGTAATCACCCCCGTAGTACGCGGCCTCACATACTTCACTGAACCTCGCTGGGTTAAGGTTAAACCGTTGGTCTCGGTCCTGAGGTGTGTAACACACCGTGTGTTTAACTCCGAGTGGGTCTCCAGCATGAGCGGGTGCTGCTGCTGCCGCTGCTGCTGCGGCTGCCATGAACATCGCAACGTTACCATGCGAATTCCTGAAGAAGAACTGCACAATAACGATGTGCAGTTATATGTGTTAACAAGGGGGCGCAAGACACAATCCACTCCAAATGCCTGCGGTAACGCTGACACCAGACTGCAAACCGTGTAGCTACACTATTCACCCAGTCGCAAGGCCATGCTCTAACACCTCCTCCTCCTCCTCCTCCTCCTCCAACTCTGCTCGCCCTGAACGCTCAGCCTGCCGTCGCGAAAATTGCCACATGGGAGCCGAAGCTCGCGGAAAACCGGCTCGCTCCAGTGAGCGAGATGCTTCGCTCGCGCGGAGGCCAGCGTCGGCGCAGGGGAGGCGGCGAGGCAGGGGTACCCGGGTCCAGTCGGGGGGCCACCTGCCAAAACTTCTTGCGGACGGAGCAGATCACGACGGCCAGTTCGTCCAAGTCTTGAAGCTCTGGAGGCCCGCCACAGGCACCAAAGACAACCCGCGATGAAAAGCCGGCCCCGAGGAAGAGGCCGAGAGTACCGGGGACCTTCCGATGGAAGACATCTTGGTTTCGGAGGTCTCGCGTTTCACGCTGCGCGAATCACACTCCCGCGCCTCGCCCCCGCGCCTCCTGCGGGGAGATCTTCGCGCTCCCGCATCGGAGACCTTCGCGCTCCCGCGCCTCGCCCGCGCTGGAGGAACGCGGCTGCCCGGACCACACCGCGGCGCGCGAAGTGAGGTCACCTGCGGGTGGCAATCCCCTGGGTAGGAACTGCCTCCGCCATGCGGGATGGATGGCAGGATGGGCGCGGGGAAGGCGGGGGCGGGGAGGAGGAATGGAGGCGGGCGGGGGGAGGGAGGGGAGTGGTAAGGGGGGAATGGTCAGCGGGAATGGGTGGGAATGTTGAGGGGTAGTGGTCAGGGGGGAAGGGAACGGGTGAGGAGGGTGGAAGCGGGCGCGAGGAAACGGAGAGTACATAGGTGAGATGGGGTCCCGCGCACCGCCAAACGGGAGCCAGCCTCCGTCCGCCACCTTCCCTCCCCGTCATCCTCCGCGTCCTTTTTACTTGCTCTCCTACTTTACTCCATCCTCCTGATCCAGCCCCCGTTTCATCCACCCTGCTCCTCCTCCTCCTCCTCTTCCTCCTCCTCCTCTTCCTCCTCCTCCTCCTCCTCATCATCATCATCATCATCATCATTCACCACCACCACCATCATCATCATCACCACCACCATCATCATTATCATCACCACCACCATCATCATCATCACAACCATCATCATCAGCATCATTATCATCAGCACCATCATCATCATCATCATCACCACCATCACCTATCATCATCATCAACATCATCATCATCATCATCATCATCATCATCAGCATCATCATCATCATCACCATCATCACCATCATCAACATCACCACCTCTATCATCATCATCACCATCATCATCACCATTGTCACCATTATCATCACCACCTCTATCATCATCATCACCACCATCATCACCATCATCATCGTCATCATCATCACCATCATTTTCATCAGCATCATCAGCATCATCATCATCATCAGCATCATCATCATCCCCTCTCCCTTCTCATCGCCTCACTCCTCCTCTCTTCTTCTCCCTCTTTCTACTCCTGCCTCCCCCTGGTTCTCGTCCTCGTCCTCCCCGTCGCCGTCCTCCTCCTCTACTCCATTCTCCTCTACACCTCATGTGCTCTTCTCTTCCTTGTCTCTCATTCCCCAAGCAATGCTTGCTCTGAAGGGGTCCTAGCGGAAGTTGAAAGATTTGGCGAAAGACAATTTCCCGCTGATTTTGGTAGCAAGCTGGGTTCCCGGGTTCTTGGTTCCATGTTCCCGGGTTCCCGGTTATTGGTTCCGGGCCGATTTCGGTGGGTTCTGGGTTCCCGGGCTCCCGGTCGATCTCCCCAGCGAAAACCATCCACTGATTGGGTCTCCAATGTCATCACGAAGCCGACCGCAACATGGCACCAACTCATACTGATGATATTTGGACGACATGCTTCCCTGGACGAATCTGAAACAGGTCGTCAATTGACGCCGCAGGCACGGTGCAAGAAAATGACCATAGCTATGAGCGTTTGCTTTAGTACAATTACACCAGAGAAAAACCCAATCTGTGGATGGTTTGATAATTAGTCATATGGATCATGAGATCGATTTGTGAGATCGATAATGGAATCGATAGTGGAATCGATCGTGAGGACGATTGTCAGGCGGATCGTGAGAACGAGACTGAAGTCGACTCAACGAAATCGATAAGGAGATCGATCGCGAGATCGCTCGTGCGATCCATAATGAGATTGCCTGTGAGATCGAGAGTGAGATCGATGGTGAGATCGATAGAGAGGTGGGTAATGAGATCGTTGGTGAGACCGATCGATAAGAAGATCGACCAGAAACCAAGGAACCCAGGAACCCCGCCGCCCACTGAAATCGGCCCAGAACCAATAAACGGGAACCCAGGAACCCGGAGCCGGGAACCTGGGAACCCAGCCTGCTACCAAAATCGGCGGGAAACTTTCGCCAAATCCTTCAACTTCCGCTAGGACCCCTTCAGTGCAAGCACTGGTTGGGGAATGATGTTCCTGGATACCCAGTTCTGATAGCCTGCGCCGCGTACGAATTATGTCCACTACGCTCGTGCAGCTCGTGGTGGGACCGAGCCCAACATGGCGTGTGTGCAACGCAGGTTTCTGAATAACGCTGCCCATGCCTCTACATGCTCAGTGGCTCCGGATCAACATCCGAGATGTCAGTCGGTTGTGCAGCTTTCATTACGCGGTTCTTGCGAAGCCTCGCCTGAGGTCGCTCAAGAATATGGATGTCTCCTCGTGTAGACTGGTGTACATGATTCAGTACGTTGTCCATGATGATGATTGGTTCGATTCTAAAGTCAGCGACAACATTATCCAACCGACCCACTCGTTCATTATTATCCACATCCTGAGTGGGGTTCTTGCTTTCCTGTACCATCATGTCCTCCCCCCTCCTTCTGCGATCAATTCTACCTGCATGCGCTTCACGCAATGATTAATCCAGGATTGTGCCCCTCCCAGCGCCAACGCGCGCTCGTGTCCCTCCAAGGAAGGTCGCGCCAGACCGCGCCCGCAATGCGGATACCTAGCTATTCATGAGGGATCGTACCCCGCCCAATCCACCAGCCGCACTAAGAAGCACCACATATGTCCCTGCATGTGGACCGCACTAGACCGCGCACGCCTCACGTGTGCCACGTTATTATTTCGCGCTGTGAGTCTAGACCTCCTCTCGGTTCTGGACATCTGAAGGTGAAATGCCACAATGCTCCATGTGAAGAGGAGCTCGTAATGCCGGCCATTGTGCCATTGCTCGCTAGATCAGTGACCTCACTCTCCACTTATACTTGAGCCAGGGAAGAAAGGAGAGAGGACGACGAGATGAGGGAGACGAGGGAGGGAGAGGAGAAGAGAGGAGAAGGAGGACTGAGAAGTCAGGCCCTCCAGGGCCTGCCGTTGGCCTCTGGCTGTGCGAGTCACGTGGGTGCGCCTTCCGCCGGGCTCCGGCCTCGCGCCTCCTCGGGAGCGGGGCGCCAGCGGGCCGCTGGCGGCAGCGCGAAGAAGCAGGGGTCGGGAGTCGCCCTGGCGCGCGAAAGGACCACGGCGGAGCCGCCCCGGCGCGCTCTGTACAGTGGCGGCCCTCGGTGACAGCCGACCAGCCTCAGCTGGGGAAGCTGGGTTCACTTCGCGGTGACGTCGGCGCTGGTTTCAGTTTCTGCCACCCGTGGATTGCTCGACCTGGAGTCGATAGCACAGCTCGTTCGACATCGGCCGATGTTCCAGGCCACTGGCGACATTCAACCTCTGGGGTCGCCGTCGCGTCCATGCGACTCGATCCTGCCGTACCACCATGGGGGACCCATCGTATCGACGATCCCTCGAAGAAGGGTGTGGAAGCCGATGGGTCTCCCAGGGTAAAGGACTACAGCTTCCCAAGGTGCGGCTGGTCTGTAGAAGGTCTTCGGGAGCCAATACGCTGTAGCCTATCGGCTGTGCTGGGGACCGAACGCCAGCAATGGTCTCATCCTCACCCTCTTCTCCTCCAGTCCTCCTCGTCCTTCTTTTGCTCCTCCATCTACTCATTGTCGTCGCCGCCCGCTGCCGTCGTCGTTACAACTTCTCATATCATCGTCTTCATCCTGCAACTTGTGCTACTTCTGATGCTGCACCTCCTTATCATTTTCACCTTATTTCCAGCACAGTCATAATCCTTTGCAGGGTCGTACAAATCATGCATTCAATATCAACAAAACAAATAGAATACTGGTCGTCATCATCATCATCATCAGCAGCAGCATCATCATCAGCATCACCCTCACCAACACCAACACCAGCACAACACCAATATCACTACCACATTATCATCATCATCATCAGCAGCAGCAGCATCAGCAGCAGCAGCATCATCAACATCATCATCATCAACAACACCATTCATCACCATCATTATCACGAACGACATCAGCAGCAGCAGCAGCAGCAGCAGCAGTATCATTACCATCATCATCAGCATCGTCGTCGTCATCATCGTCATGATCATCATCATCATAATCCCAATCATTATCATAATCGTCATCATCATCATCAACATCACCATCACCATCACCATCACCATCACCATCACCATCATCATCATCATCATCATCGTCATCATCGTCACATCAACACCATCTCGTAACCACCGTCATCACCAGCATCACCATCACCACCACCACCACCACCCTCCTCATCAACAGCATCATCGTCAACATCATCAGCATCACCATCATCATTATCATCATCCTTATCATCCGTCTTCTTCCTCGTCACGTTCCTCTTACTCCTTGTTATTCTCATCATCCTTCCGCCCTGATTCTCCTCGTCCTCCACTTCATCTCGTCGAAGCTTTGAAACTGCGGGCAAGCCTGGCTGTGCCTGGAAACCTACCTCTTCCCCTTAGCCAAGGCTGGAGGACGGACTGACGCAGAGGGCACCTGCACACCACCACCGTGCCTGGCCAGGGCCTTCCTGGGCCCAGGCACGGTGTATACGTCCTCTGGGCCTCGGCCAGGAGGGTCAGTGGCCTCTATACACCATGCTGGGGCCTAGGATGAACCTGGCCAGGCACGGCGGTGGTGTGTAGACGACTTCTGCGGATTCATCATGCACCTCCTGATTCTGCACCTCCTGCTCCCTGGGTGCCTGGCATCGTGCTTTTCCTGGTGGCGCGGGCCCGCGGACCTCTCGGCCCCCATCCCAAGGACTGGATTTCCGTTCCGTGTAATTTCCGTGGATGGTCTTGGGGCCCGGTGAGGGCCACAGCGCTCCCCGAGCTCGTGCGCAAGTTCCTGGGCAACGCTTCCTGAGCTTGTTGGTAGCGCCTAGCCGCCTAGCCTATGCAGCTCCGTCGCAGCTCGTGGGTAGCACTTTCTAGGGTGGTAAGCAATTCCCAGGAAGCGCATGCTAGGCTCGTTGGGACCATGGGGTGGCGAGACAACTGGTCGTCGCGCCTTTTCCGCGACGCCTGAAGCTCTGGAGCTCCCCAAAAATCTGCCCATTGACCACTCCTGAGGCGCGCTCTGGCCAGAATCTCGGGGCGGATCCAGCTGCGGACACGAGGGGCGCCCCACACGATGTCCAAACAAGGCCTAAAGCGCAAGAGAACTTCGACCATCGACCCTCTCCTCCCAAACATCCGACAGACATCCGTGGTCGTGATCTTCGCAGTGCTGGCTTTCCACTCCAGATCGCTTTTGATGACCCTGGGGCCCACAGGAGCCTCGAGGCCGAACTCTGTAAAAGAAACCTGGCATCGAATAATCACGACGTAGGTCTGGCGCGTCCAGTGTGGTGGCGCGAGGGGGACGGCCTCCTACGACGGCCGGGGGCCTTCTTCGAAGCAGGGAGGCTTCCAAGACAGCGTTTCATCAACCAGAAGTCTTCTAAGAAGGCCCCATGCCTTCGAGGCAGCCCCCCGCTGTCTCAGAAGGCCACTCCCCCTCACACCAACCCACCTCGCGCGCTAGCGTCCGTCGTCGCCGTCGCAGACCCCCCGACAGTCATCGCGACGCGGCGCGGAACAGGGCGGCCCCTGGCGATCAGTCCTGCCTGCTCTGGAAGGCCAGCGACGCGCCTCGCTGCGCACCCTCGAGCCCCCCGCCCCCTCTCACGCCGCCACTTCCCTCTAGGAGGGGATGGAGGAAGAGGAGGGGGGAAGAGGCAAAAAGTAGGAGGAGAAGCGTCATGCGGAGCGACATGGGATTGGCGACAATCCTGAAAGGCCAGAATGGGTGTGCGCGCGGAAGGCTTCGTGCCTCCTAACTCTGCTGATGTCGATCTCTGCCGTACCCCGCGGCGGTCGTACTACGATAGCTAGGGAGCACGTCGCGGCCAGTGCGGTCAAGATTCTCTTGTTCCTTCTTCGAAGTGGGACGAGTACACGGCGAGGACGGGTGCAACGGATCCACTGTGGGGTCCTGGCGCAGGCAGAACCAGAACGCTTACGTGTTCTGCCGAGGGCAGGACACATTTTGACACGCGACGAGTGCGCCGCCGCCGCCGCCGTAGTCGTCGACTCCGCCGTCATCGTCGTCGCCGCCACCCGCGCATGGCTCTCCACCCCCCACCCTTCGATCGGGCGCACGCGGGCCGCCGAGGCCGGCAGGCACGCGGCACCCCACTGCGCAGGCCTCGTGCAGACCAGAGCCTGGCACGGGAGCCTATAGCACGGCGCACGCATCCATCCGCCGTGCGGCAAGTTCGCGTCGTGCCGATCTCGGCGCTGGTTCCGGACACCCCGGTGGATCTTTCAATACCGACCGATTCTGGGCCGCCGCCGGCGCTCGACGTTGAACGCCAGCGGCGGGGTCGCCGCAGGTAGACACGACACGAAGCTACCATAAGCTTTGTCGAAACGGTGCTGGCCGCTGTTGAAGGTTTCGTCCAAGACAGGTTGCCTGCCCCTGCGCATTCAGCGCCTCTCGACCGTCCCGAGGGGCAATGGCTATCGAATCGACCATGTATTGGCTGGCTCGTTTCCTCTCGCGCGCCAAGAGAACCACCCAAACCCACCGATGCGTACTTGAGGGACCTGGCTCCTCCCAATTCAAGGATCCACGATGTGCAAGCGGCCTTTCTAGCATAAGTGTCGCCTTGATCGTTGCTGACAGCGGGCAACTTTTGCTGCTGAGAGAGGCTAGGGTCGGTGCACCCTCCTCGCCCCTCTTGCAGGGTCGCTCGAATTCAAAACGATCCGAATTTGTTGCCTCGACATGGGCGCGCATCTCTCCACAGCAGCCCTGGTGGACGGTCAATCATCGGTGGCAAGCAGCACGCCACCTGGAAAATGGATTAGTGCGACCTCGAAGCGCTGCCCCCGCCACGGGGCGCGCCTCGCTGACCTCCGCGCGGCCGCAGCGGGGTCGGAAGCTGGCTCTGGGCGAATCGCCCAGCTCCGCTACCATCAATTAGTGAGCCGCCGCTCGCTGGATACGGATGACAATTTCTACAAACGTGAACTCAAATTCTCTTGCCACCGAAACGTCAACCATTCGGTCCTACGCATTTCGATATCCTCCTCCCTCCCTCCCTCCCTTCCTGCCTCCTCCTCCTCCTCCCCCTCCTCCTCCATCCCTTCTGTTTAGAAATAGCTCCTCCCTGTCGCGCTTCCAGACACGTCCGCAGGCCAAGCTGGCATTTTAGCCTGAGACTTCCAGGCCATTCACAACACTGAAGCTCGACAGTTGCAACACTTTCAAAACGCAGGGCGGGCAATTTTCAAAATGGAGCTCTCGCCTTAGCTGACTGCCCTGTAACCGCAGGAGACCCCCAACACAGAAGTATTCAGATGGATTCTGGTGTCTGGGTCACTTGCGAATTGCATGCACCTTCTGGCACTTGATGCGCCAACGTACGCATGCGAGGTATAACGGGGCGACGGCCGCGCTTCACTTTTCAAGTGAAGTTGTTCTGCAATGTCCCAGTTCATTGCATTGCAGCGCAATGCATGGCGAAATCACGGCGGGCGCCGCTTGCATGGACGCGCGCCGATTGACTCCTTCGTCCCAAAGCTTTGTTGGAGCACGTCAATCGGCGTTGGACAAACCTGCCTTTAGTAAACCTCCCCTTAGTGAAAACGGCCTGGGACCGAAACCGACTGACCCTGGACCCGCAAATGACGGCCGCGACGCCCTCTCGCAAACCGAAAACGGCCAATTCCTCAATCGACGTGTCAGGGTAGGAGGTCTGTCCAACCCCGAGTCAACACGAGGCGTGGGTGTGTGGTCCGACTCGCCCTCGTGACTCGCACGTGTGGGTGCGGTTCCCCGTTCTCGTGCGCGCTCCTGCCCCAAGCTGTGGCGGCTGTGCGCTGCCGGTCCTCCGGCGGCTGCGCCGCCATCCCACGAGCGCGCCGCTCGTCCCCGCGAGCCCATCCGGCTACCCGCGCCTCGGTTACCTTGCGCTGGGCCGACGCGCAATCATCCCGTGCGATGCGTTGTGCTGTGTGCAATGATCGCGTAACCAAGCTTGACCTGGCCGGGAATAGTGATTGCTGGTTCCGTCGATGCTCCTGGGGGGAGGGGGAAGACGGGGCTGGGCAAGGAGGAGAGGGGAGGAGGAGCACGAAGTAATTGATGAATGATGGAGGAAGAGCATGAGGAGGACTACGACGACGAAGGACGGACGGACGGCGGAGGGAGACGGAGGAGAAATGCGGAGTGAAGGGGGGCAGGATGTGGAATGACGCGGCTTGGGCGATGCATCTCGCCCGCTCGTCGGGAAAGTCGCGGTCGCCGTTGCCTTTGTCAGAATCGCACTGGGCCTTTTCGGGGCTTCGTGCACCACTTTGGGCGCTTTTCGGACGCACCTTGACGTTTTTTGTATTGGGCCTCTTCAAATGTTTTGGGTCTTCTTCGTCTGCCGCGGGAGCCTTCAGTTCTGCCGTCCAGGATGCCTCTGGAAGGTGTTCAGGCCAGCTCAGGGGCCTCTCGGGGTGTTCTGGGCTGCTCGAGACCTGGAGCGGGCCTATTTGGGTGTCCGTCGGGCGTCGTTCGGGTTGTCT